GGTGCTCATCCCCGTTTCCAAGCCATAGAGCCAGCATTTTGTCCAAAGACAATCTTCCATGGTCACATGGCCAGTGCGGCTTAGACACGGAATGCTGTTACCTTCCCACCTAGGTGGTTCCTATTTATCTACTTGCATTTGCATGCTTTCGAACCACTAGGTTGGCAGGAGCTGGGACAAGCGACAGGAGCTCACTCCGTCGCATGGATTTGATCTTACGACTGCTGGTCTTCTGACCCTGCAGCACAGGCTTCTGAGGTTTAGCCCGCAGCGCCACCACATCCCTTCCAATGGACATTAAGTAGCACTATTTTAAGTATGTATCAATGTTTGATGTATTCGTGAAGGCCTTCTCACAGTGACAGATAATCTCTCCTCCTTATCACAACAATACACCCACAACAAGACACACTAATCACCCATCCCTTGAATAGGACAAAAGCCTATCTCACAGCCATAAATACTCCACTCCCAAGCCAACTACACCAGAGCAAAGAGTGCTGTCCTCTGAAGATGCCCACGGCTACAGAGACTGGCGAAACTTTAGGAAGAACAACCTTCAGAACACGGCCAAAGAGCCCAAAAAAACCACAACAACCACTATCTATGTTTGGTTGCTTGCTATGCACAGCAGCTCCATGCTTTTCTCCTCCCTATTAGCATTACAAACTCCTGTATTTTTTAAAAACAAATGCAGCTTCTCTGTTGTTTTGGTTAAGAGCACAAAAGACTTTCCTTGTGGAACCAAGACTACATGGTCTTTTTGTTGGAGGAGGAAGAGAATGATAGCAAAAATGCAGAGCAGCTGCTCAGGGCACAATCTACAACTGGAACAGAGAAATCTACCAGTATGCCTAAACCAGTGCTGCATCCAAAGACTGCATCTTCCTCTAGGAAGGCAATACTCTTAAATTGGTTCCAATTGCTATATTTTGTCTCATGTTTCAATTAATCTAATCTCCAACTTTTCCCACATGGGAATTGCTGTATTTCTGGTGCTTCTACTCCCAATCAAATAGGAACTACTTGGGCACAAGACGATAGAAAATGTATCAGCTAATCGTCACCCCTTTGTCTTTATGGATGGGCAAGATCATTCATCCTACACTGGCTGAAAGGAAACCAGATACCTCAAGCTGATGCAGAAAGCTGGTATTCTCCATCTTGGACCTTTATTCTAACATATGGTCATGATGAATGAGGGCTACAGTATTCTGATTCTGTTTCTCCACACTGTCAATCTCTGCATTGCCCAAACTAAGGAAGGCTCTTGCTGAAATGGAAAACTACCCTATGTTTACTATTTTAATGGGCCAATAAAGTTATTTATCCACCCTTGTTTTGGGTGTGTATGGAAGGATCACGTGTCCCCCCTTTCTTGTTTCGTTTTATTTTACCTGTTCACCTTCCATGTTTGGTTCTGCTCTACACAGCAAGGGATTTGTAAAAGCTTTTCCTTTCTGGGGCCTGCGGACTTCAAACCCTCTTCTGCTCATGTCAGCTCGCAGGGCCCCCTACATGTGAACCTCTGGCGAGGGTGTGAAACGCGCAAGTATCTGGAGAGGAAGAGGGAGCTTTGCCGGGAGAAGGCAGACAATGATTAAAGGTTTAGAGTCTGTTTTAAAATAAAGGGACTCTGGAGGTTGGAAAGGAGAGTCGAGCTGAGCCGCCTGAGGGAAAAGAGTGGGCGGGTGGATAGGCTGGATCCAGGCGCGAGGCTGAAGAGGGTTTTATGGGCGGGAGCGAGGATGTTCTGAGGGGAGGGAGAGGCGGCTGGAAAGGCTGGTCTACGAAAGGGAGGGAGCATGGGAGCTCTTTAGACTGGGAAGGGTGGCGGTTCGGTGTCTTCCTCAGCATTCCCCCTCAGGGACAGCGTGCGAGGGAGACAGGGAGAGGCACGCCGAGCTCCGCCCGCCCGCCCAGGGAGGCAACAGCCGCGGCAGCTAGAGTTCCGGGAAGCGGCGGAGGGGCAAGGCTTTGCTCTGCCCGCTCGGTTGCGTGCCGAAGGGACGGACTCCTGCTTACACTCCGTCCTCTCCCACCTCAGAGCCTGGCTCCTTCCTTGAGGCGGGGCGGCCTCCCGCGTCAGCCCCCTTTTGGAGAAGGAGGGAGGGAAGGAAGGAAGGAAGTAGGGAGGAGCGGGGGGGGGAAGAGAGCAAGAACAGGAGCGTAGAAAGGAGCTCTGCCGCGTTGTGAGAGACCGGGGACTGCGGCAGCGGCTCTTCCTCACGGGAACAAAGAGGCGCGAAAGCGAGGACGGTGTGTGTGAGTGAAGGGAGAGGCTCCCTTTTCTCGCTCTAACGACCGCTCTGGAGATGGTGAGTTAAGGGAAGACGGGGGGCGGGGGCGGGGAGAGAGAGAGAGAGAGAGGTCTGAGTTTCTGTGGATTGCGAGGTCCCGCTCCCGTTCCCAGGAGCCGCTGCTTTCCCTTCGGGGGGCCCGCAGGGAGAGGGAGTGTTTTTTTCCGGGGACTGAGCCTTCCTCTCCGCGCCTCCGGGAATCTCAACCGCCGCCAGACCCCGCGCGGGAGGGTTTCACGCGAGTCCCCTGTTTGTCCACCTTGGGTAACGAGACACCGCCGGTGCCATCTCCATAGAGACCGCAACTCGCCCTCCAGTGGTCTCTCGGCTGTGGGAACTGGTGGTGCTGGTAGCCTGTCCGTGATGCCTGGTTTTTTGTTTTGTTTTGTTTTCCAAAAACCGGGCGTGCTTTGTGTCTTCTTACGTGCGTGTGTTTGGAGGTGGGGTTTCTCTCTACATGCTGAGGTGTGTGCCTTCATCTAAGATATCCAGGGCACGTCCTGTGGAAGCCATAATGTTCAAGGTGCACATCCTGACCTCGGAAAGAAGGCGTTTTGTTTGTCAAGTTCAGTCCTCGGGTATTACTGTTGGTTGCCTTTACAAACAGATCTTAAAACTGTGGTTTGGAGGCGAACTTGTTTCTCCCCCCCCTCCCCTGGCCTTGAAGTGAACTTTTGCGAAGGTCTTATCTTCAGAAATCAGATCTTCCAGGCATCATCTTGTATTCTGTCGGTCAGCTGTTATCATGCACTAGTTAGTCTTCTGTTACTGTCTGCTTGCTCAATTCGTCTTTGGCATGCTTACTCCAAAATATTTGAAATGGAAATACTTATGTAATATATGTCTGTGTGGATGGTGAATAATTATCCATTGCCTGAAGGAAGTCTTGCCGATGTCAGTAGTTTTGTTCTTCATTTTCCACCACAGTGCTGCAAAAACTGAAGTATTTTAATGTTGAGTTTGTTTCTCTTGTAAGATGGGCTTTTTGCTTGCATGTCAGTATTGGATCCATGGCCTTCGTTTTCAAACACATCTTCTCAAATGTAATGTGTGCTGTAGTTAGTCATGTTTTTTTTTTCTCAAAACAGTTACAAGTTTGATTATAAGATGCATTTTCAGAAATGCAGAATCCCAATGTATCTTACTAACTGATCCACAGAAGTATCTTAGATGAACTCAAGGATCTGGCTACATCCAGTGCGATTTTTTATTTATAACACCTGTACTTCAGTGTGTTTTTTAAAAGTTCAGTCAGTCTAAAAATGATTCATCATGTTCTGTAGAGGATAAAACACAAGCTGTTACAGTTTTCTGGATCCTACCTAGAACCAGTCCCTGTTAAGCATAGTGAGGCAGATGCTTCAAGCAGTTCATTGAAGGTGTCACAAAACGATATCAAATAAATAGTCCACAATTTAATTTGGTATTACTGTACAGTATTACATTTTTACTGCTACAGATGTGGAGAAAGTTTTTCTTTTTTTCTTTTTTTAGTCCACAGTAACTTGATTGATTTTGAGTATTACGTGTCATTTGCTTTTCTGCCTCTGGACACAAAATATTAGGCTGGCCTTCATCCTATCCATTGTGTATTGCTTTTTAGTTGCAAATTATACAGCTTTGAATTTAACAGTTGATTGTTAACTAGCAGGTATCATTTGTTTAAAAAATGATTGGAAATGTTTTTGTTTTAGTACCAGATTTTAATTATCTGGCTATTTACTTCCCACAGTTGTATTCTGTATTTAAATTAATGGCCAGTAATATTATTAAAAGTCAGCACATATAGCTGTTAAGTACTGATGGCTTTCAAATTAGTTATGTAATAGAAAATATCTTAAGTTCTGAAGTAGCTTGAAAAATCAGGAGGTTTATGGTAACACTGATTAAAGTGGACAGGAAGTGTTTTTAAAATGCAGTTTGAAAGCAATTTTAAATTTAGTAATACTGTACTCTCATCCTGGCTGCTATTGGTGGCTTTTACAATTGCAAGGCAGTAAGATTTTCTAAAGATCAATATACTTCAATAAAGAAGTTCACTAATAAGATGGTCCCTTTGAAGCCAACCCCTTGTTTGTGAACAGTTGTGAAAACTGTAGTAGTGAGGTCAGCTGGTATCACATCCCTTCTGTTTCTGACATGTAACCCCTAACATATTATAGCAAGTGGTTTAGATTAAGCAATAAGCATATATGCATTTAAGAGATTCTTATTTAGACAAACATCTTACTGTTTTATTTTACTGATCTGTAGGAATACATTAAAACAGCTTTCCCCATTTTTCCATTGTTATTCATATTTTTATCTCCCTTTTACAAATTTCAGAGAGAAGAGTGAAGAGGCATGGATATAACTTGATTTTCTTAAAATGTTCAGAAAGAATGTTGATTTTATAAAAGAGTTTTGCATAGTCAACTAGATAAAAGATGGATGAGTCAGCCTTACTGGATCTACTGGAGTGTCCTGTCTGCTTAGAACGCCTTGATGCTTCTGCAAAAGTCTTGCCTTGTCAACATACGTTTTGTAAACGATGTCTGTTGGGCATAGTAAGCTCCAGAAATGAGCTTCGTTGTCCAGAATGCAGGACGTTAGTAGACTGCAATGTTGATGAACTTCCCAACAATATTTTGCTAGTTCGACTACTAGATGGCATCAAGCAGAGACCTCGGAAACCTGGTGGCCTGGTGAGTTCCACAAATTCTTTAAGGCCCCAGACTAGCACAGTTGCTAACTGCATCCCAAAAGACCTACAAAGTTCTCAAAGTAGCCAACAACAAAGAGTACAAGCACGGAGTCCTCCTGTTCGGGTAAGTGTCTTCTATGGAAATCATATAAAGATATAAATGTTCATTTTAGTATAAGTTTGCTGTGAGAGCCCAAGAAGATTACGTTGGTGGAGTATGTAAGAAGTTAACTGTAGGTTATTCAACTGAGTCAACTGGGATAAACATAAAGCCAACTTTATGTCTAGATGATCCAAGGTTTCCCATGTGGTGATGGAGAAGATGTGTCCTCTGTTGCTCTGGAAGGCAGAATTGCAATGCAGTGAGTGGAAATTGTAGGAAGTCAGATTTTGTAAAGCAGTAGGAGTCACTTCCTAAAAGTTTGACAGTGGAAAAGGGTATCTTGGAAGGTGATGACCTCTTCTTTGCTGGAGGTATTTAAGCAGAGACTAGGTGACTGTCAGAGGTACTGCAGTTGTATTTTCATCTAGCAAGGGTCTGGACTTGATTATTGGCAGGATGCCTTCCAACTTTATTCCTGACTAACTGGCCAAGGAAGATTTGATAATGATTGGCAGACACATGGTAAATTCTTTGCTGTAAGTGCTATTTTTTCTTATTGTCTCTCAAGACTTCTTCTTGTTGTTGTTGTTGTTGTTGTTGTTGTTGTTGTTGTCCCAAGCATCAAAATTAATCTTAGAAGTAATGAGGATCGACTGGAAGATCTTGATGGGAACTTTATAGCATTAGTGTATTTTACATGAGTCAACTTGCCATTCGGAAATATGGAATCCTGGTTATGGCTGATGTGAAATCATCTAAAAATCCTTAATGAAAGGATTCGTTATAACATCCTCCAATTTATAAATATTGTCGACTTTTTCCCCATATAAAGATTTTAAATATTCAGTTCATTGCAGTCTAAATTATAAAAATGTCATGGCTTTATATTTTCTTTTAAAAAGGGAAGAGCTAGTTTGTAGTGTTTTTTTTAACTGTAATAATAACTTCTGTCAGGAGCACAGTATTGGTTTCTGGATGGAGGGATATGGACAGTTGGAATTGAGGTATAGAATATGTATCTGAGTACATGCTCAGCCTAATAATTTGTGTAAAACTGAGCTTCATTCCTTTCACACCTACTAAATAACTGTAAGACGTTTAATCCATCTACTCATTGTTGTTGCATCTGATTGGTGGTACTGAAATACTGTATACTATACAGTATTAGCATAGCCCTATCTGGAGATCCCTGATACTCTCTCAGCCAGTTATCTCTGACTCTGCTCAGTTTCCTAAATCAGACAAGATGTTCATGGTGGCATGATGGTTATTCTGTTGGATCTTACCACTTTTGCTCTGAGTTATTCTAAGGATTTAGATATTTTCATAATATTTCACAACACTGCCAACTGTAGTAGTCTGCTGGGTTTTTTTTTACTTTACCTTTGTTTATTTTCTTTATTTTATTCATATTGTTGAACGTGTAAGCTAAAAACCCTGGTAGTTAGTTTTATTCCAAATTCATAGAGTCTGTAATTGAAAATACAACTTTTTAAGAAGACTAACCTGATTTTGCTTTTGCCCAGTGGCAAATTAGATCAGATTCCTTAAAAAGGCTTTGCTTCTCTTCCAGTAATACGTGCATTTGCACTGCCTCTGGGTATGGTTTGAATTTGTTGTGCAGTGATTAAGTGCTTCATCAGTTCTGAAGAATGCATTGTATTTAGATGGAATAGTAGTTTGAGCAATGGAGGGAAGGAACAGAAGCTTCAAGGCATCTAAGTATTTAAAATATCTTTAATTTGGTTGCTTGACTTTCTGGTATTCAGAAACTTATCTGTAAAAGAGGGTCACTGAGGGAAGTGTGTACTTTATGGTCAAACTGCACCTATTTTTTATTTATTTTTTATTTCAGTGTTTCATAGTTTGTATCTAGTATATGCCAGTAAATGTATGCTCTTTTGCAGTCCCTCATTTGACTGTTTTTTAAAAGAGAATGTTTTCCTTGGCTTACCTATCAGTGTGTAAAATCATATCCTTGCTTCAGAAATTTGAGGTTTCCAAAACAAATCAAGTGAAAGTTTTTTATATGTCCTATTTTTTGAGACTTTTAAAATTGGTATGCATGTACATTTCAGGCTTCTCTCCTATAGTATGAGGGCTGGTGATTGTATATATGTGTAGTGTATGTGTTTAAATGAAAGCCAGGTCCAAATTCTAAAAAGTGTAGTCTGTGCATAAGTATATTGGAAGCTTTCTGCAGTCTGCTTAGTTCTCCTGATTATACAAATGATATGTCAATGCACAATGTTTTCTACAAGTGCTTGTTTTAAAATTCAGTATCAGTATTCTGTGCAACCACTTAAAACATTCATCAGAAAATAAAAAAACTGGATTATCTTGTGGTGTGGTTTCTATTCTGTAACACAGTAGTATATTTCTGTGCAGTGTTTGTTTCCGTATAAATTGCAGGACAGGAAGTGTAATATTGCCTTATTTTATTAGTACTGACCATGTGTCAAATAAGTGACTACTTTATTTACTGACATAGCAGTCAGTTGTAAGAGTGTATCATGTACCTCATACACTGCTTCCAGAGTTCTAATCCTAGTGCCATTAGAGTCATAGCTCAGCTTCCAGAAGGATAATCATGTTAGTCTGCCACTGCCAAAACCAGACATTATTTTAGTATTTTTAAAAAATGATAGGTTTATTAAAACATAAGCTTTATTGGACTAGAGACCATTTCTTCCTTTTGATATCAATTGATGATTTTCATAGTATGTCTTGTTTTGTCTTCATAAGGATCAGATGATTCTGGTGCCCTGGAGTGCAAGGTGAAGAATGAGATGGTTATGAATTTTATTCATGCTATTTAGACAGTGGTTTCTAATTCTAATTCCTTGCCTTTCTTCCTTTTATTTACGATTGGGGAAGAAAGTCTTGTGTAATTTATCTTCTAGTTTTCTTCAGATTCCTTCCTTCCTTCTAACTGATTATATATTTCCTAGTTCTGATAGAACTCTGTTATTTTTCCCCATGCTATTTCATTCTAGGTTCTGTTCCATTCTACAGTCATTACTCATTTTAACTTCTGATTTGTTTAATCAGTCATTTTTACTAAAGTCAGGGGCCCTTCAATTAACACTATTTAATCTCTGTGTGAACACCCATATAAACAAAGGCAAAGTAATTCTCTCTAGTGTTCAGAGGCAGACATTGGCTTAAATCCTGTTCCTTAAATTCAGGCTGCATAAACCAGATGATATCATTATCTGGCAACAGGAATATTTAGTTAAATGAAATCTTTCTGTTCCAATCCACCTTTCAAGTTCTGAGGCTTCCCGGCGGCTCCCTTTTGCCCCAGAGAAGCCTTAAAGCATCAGGATGTGGTGGGGTGGGGGTGGTGAGCCATTAATAGCCAGAAATTGCTGGCAGTTGGCTGCTCCTAGGATCAGGACCACTGATGCTAATCTGGCATCAGTTTTTGGCTGTTGAAAGGTCTCTCACATACCTCAGCTCAGTGCTCTGAAAGTCTTCCCCAGGGCAAAGGGACCTAGAGAACCTGAAATGGGAGGATAGAAAGTTTTGATTGATTTAAATATCCTTCTTACAAGATGATGACATAATCTGGGTTAAGCAGCATAAATTTCTGCAAGAAGATTTCAGACACCCTGCTGAACTTCTTGAAGAAAAATCCTGACCTGTAAATTAACTACTACAATCAGCAAGGGTTTCACCTGTCCATGAAAAAAGGGTCTATCTCCTAATGAGAACTTGCCTGTGGGAAAAACTGACACATGTGGGTGCAGCAGTGATGGCTTATACAGTGGGAACAGGTTAGTAGATCCTCCTGTTCCCTCAACCCTCTGTCTCTCATTTCATAAGACATCTGGGAAGCAAAAAGGAATGTTCAGTTTGATGGCTTGATTCAGTGTGGTCCTTGAATCTTTTAATAACACATTTGTTAGCGTGAATGTAGAAGGGCTTGTGACATGAAAATATTGTATAAAAATAACAATTGTGAGTTAGGGGCACTTTAAAAATGAACTGGTCCAGATTATGGTGATCAGTAGTAGGCTCACACAACTTCTGTTATTGACAGCCATTACATTATTTATGCCATCTTGCCGTCCATCACCCACCCCATTATGAGTGATAGGCTTCTCATATCAGGCTGGTGGTAATATAGAAGGTATTCTATCACTCATCCATGGGACAGCTTCATTAATTGATCTTAGTCTCATGTGCTTACTACCTAAGTAGTAGTAGTAGTTGTTGTTTTGTCGTTAAGTCGTGTCTGACTCTTCGAGACCCTATGGACCAGGGCACGCCAGAGCCTCCTGTCTTCCACTGCCTCCAGGAGTTTGGTCAAATTCATATTGGTAGCTTCAGTGACACTATCCAACCATCTTGTCCTCTGTCATCCCCTTCTCTTGCCTTCACACTTTCCCAACATAAGGGTCTTTTCCAGGGAGTCTTCTCTTCTCATGAGATGGCCAAAGTATTGGAGCCTCAGCTTCAGGATCTGTCCTTCCAGTGAGCAATCAGGGTTGATTTCCTTTAGACTTGATAGGTTTGTTCTTCTTGCAGTCCAGGGGACTCTCGAAAGTCTCCTCCAGCACCACAATTCAAAAGCATCAATTCTTCGGCGGCTGGCCTTCTTTATGGTCCAGCTCTCACTTTCATACGACTGGAAAAACCACAGCTTTGACTATGTGGACCTTTGTTGGCAAGATGATGTCTCTGCTTTTTAATATGCTGTCTAGGTTTCTCATTGCTTTCTTCCCAAGAAGCAGGCGTCTTTTGATTTTGTGGCTCCTGTTACCAACTGCAGTGACCATGGAGCCCAAGAAAGTAAAATCTGTCACTGCTTCCATATGTTTCCCTTCTATTTCCCAGGAGGTGATGGAACCAGTGGCCATGATCTCAGTTTTTTGGATGTTGAGTTTCAGACCATTTTTTGTGCTCTACTTTTTCACCCTCATTAAGAGGGTCTTTAATTCCTCCTCACTTTCTGCTATCAGAGTAGCATCATCTGCATATCGGTTGTTGTTGATATTTCTTCCGGCAATCTTAAT